TACTTCCCCCACAAACAAATGTCCTAACCTGGGTTAAGTCCCTGTATTTACTTTGGAGTAAAGAAAGTATTATTTCAGCCCTTTGGCCCTTGAAGAATGGATTAGAAGGCATTCAAGTAAGGCAATATACAGCAACTGTGCCCCACCATCACCACATATTTTTGGATTTAACTCCATAATCCCTCCTTTTTCCTTGCTACACTGCCTTGGGCTGATGGGAATTATAAACTGAAAATCTGTGAAGGACCTTAGTTGCCCAATGCTGCATGAATGTGAGTAATGGGGATGAGGATGGTAACTCATAGGTAGAGGCAAGGCATTGTTTGATAGCCAGAAAGGTAGGTGCATATGTGTGTGTTTGTTCATGTTTGGGCTGGGGGGGGGGGGTCAACAGCAGATGTCACAATTTCTGTGATATTTTACATCCCACATAACCTTATCTATAGTAGAAATGTTTTGTGGGGTCTCATTTAGGATTGTGGAGTGTCCACAGCACTACAAACCATGGGTGTTTTGCAGGACAAAGTCATTATCAGGCTGTCTATGGCATGTGTTATTCTATAGTGTGGCATGTGTTATTCTATAGTGCTTAGAGCCAACTTTCCAGTATTTAATTTTCCAGTATTAAATTTCTCTGAGAATTCCTACACATAACCTAACTATGAAAGAAGTGAGGTAATAACTTTCTCTTTCTTTTTTATCCAAATATACATGAAAATAGGGCTTGTGTTTGTGCACTGCAGATTTCCTTACTAAAACATGTTTAACAAAAGGCCATCCAAATGAGGTATACTTTGAAGAATATGCACGTATGGTTGGGGGTGGATGAATGAGAGATCCCACATAGCCTAAGGGTCCTTTATTTGCTTTTGTGTCATTGATTTTTCTCTCTGTGTGATAATCTCCAAATCTGTTCAGGTGTGGCAGCATTGATCAGACTTCAATCCAGGAAACCAATGTTAGAGCTGTTATTTTTTTCTGCAATGCTAGGGATTTTTTTCTCATGGTCAAAATGTATAAACTCACAGTTCATCTATGCAAAAAATTACGCCTAAGACCTCAAGCTTCCTTAGTTTGGTTATATAATGCAGTGGCAGCTGGTATTGTTTTCCATCTTTTGAGAAGCAAAGCACCCTAGGCTTTCTATGTCTGTAGTGCCCAAATTTTCAAGATATCTCTTCATAGATTATATAGAGCATCATATAGTTCCTTCTTGATATTAAGGTCTTGTTTCCAAGGGAGTTGATAAACAATGCATTTTAAACATACTCATTAAAAATGAATGAGTTAGTTATGAAGTGCAAGACATAAATCTCTTTATTATAACTATAGTTTATCATTTCCATAACAGGTTAGTACTCTGTGTTTGAAATACATTGGCCATAAGTCAGACTTTCTATCATTATTACTAATTAATTATATTGCACCTCTTAAAATCTACAGCACTTTATAACTGCCCAGGTCTGTGCCATCCTTAGTTATAACCATATTTTTGTTTATTACAAATTATTTCCTATAAAACATTTATAATACAATTTGAATATATTATATGGTGCACAAATTGTGTTAGCCGATTTTGAAATAGTTATTTCCCAAAATAATCTCTCTTCATCATTTTCCTTTCCTTTCCTTTCCAAGATGTAAAGAGCAGGTCTCAAAAAAAAAAAAGGAAGATTCATCAGAACTATTATGTACTTAAAGAAGCAGCAGTTTCCTAATATCCTTCTGATCAGAGCTGTGGCTTTTTGTAAGCAACATATGTACCTATGAACACCTATGTTCCATAAGACCTTACAGAACTAAAAGCTGGAACCCTATTATGAGGTGGATCGATGTTTAGGTTCTCACCCTTAATATCTCTTCATCCAAATCAATTCATACCATCTAGATTTGAGCATGTCACAAACTGGAAAATGAACAGTTTGTTCAGAAAAATGGCTGAAGTTTCCCACAGACACCATAAATCTGATCTCATACTGCAAAGCAGTGGCAGAATTTCATAGTTGTTTTAGGGAAGCAATGAGCAGAGATCTAATACCAAAACTATTCTTTAAGCAGATATAATATGGGAATCAAGATGCATTGCGTAGCAGTTTTCCCATTTAGTGGCAGTTTACCATCATAGGTGGAGATAAAAAATGCAGACTAATTCTGAATTTAGGAGTGAAAGAAAATTATTATTTTAAATTTGTTTTCCTGATGCAACAAGATTTCTTGGTGCTTTCCAAATTCTGTCAGTTAGAATAACAGTTACCAAGTTATTCACACTTTGCAGACTCTCTTGCTGTCTTCATCTGTGCAAAAATGTGGATGTCTTTTTCAGTCCATTATCCAGGCAGAGGCCAAAAGGGGGCACTAGACAGAGACGGATAGTCCATTTTATGGGTGGTGGGGGGAGAGAGCTGAACGAGAAAAATCATTTCCCTATTTCTGCCGATAGTCCCCCGTTCCTTCCCCATGTCATTAATGAGGATTGTTTCCATGATGGCGACATGGGTAGGGGGAATAACAAAAAAAATAGGGGCAACTCTCCCATTATTTCCCCCTCCATAAAATGGACTATCATTCTCTGTGTAGTGCCCCCTTTTGGACTCCGCCCAGATAATGGAACAGTACCAAATTAATTTTTATGCAGGAAATGTTTTTGCTATATAGAAAACTGTATGTGCAGGAAATATGTTTTCGACACAGAAAAGCCACATACATTTAATATATTTCTACCCTGAAATAGTTGGCAGTCAACAAAAAGAGCAAGAAAACATGGCAAGGAGAAGAAGAGTAAGTGAATCATTAGTTCCTCCTGAGATGGATGAGGAACACAATGATTTCCTCTCCTATTCTGAATATGAAACACTCCACAAAGTAATATTTCACTATCTAGCAGGATTTCACTATCTAGCACAGTTGTTCCCAACCTTTGGTTCTCTAGTTGTTTTGGACATCATCTCCCAGAAATCCCAGGCAGCTTATCAGCTGTTAGGAATTGTGGGAGTTGAAGTCCAAAACACCTGAAGGACCAAGGTTGGGAACCACTGATCTAGCAGGATTAATATAATTTCTTTGGGAATGACTTCCCCATATAGATAGTCTTCCAAGTAGATATATGACCTTGTTACATGGCCACTATACTTGCCTTGCATTGTCAGGGGCAACGGAGAACCTGGCACCCCATGCCCTGCATCGCCCAGCTCCAATATGGGTAATCCCACGGGGGGAAACATGGACCGCTTGGCTTTTCTCCATTGCTTCTAATAGTAACACAGGAAGCCTCCTGTGTTGACATGGTGGCGGCATGTGCTGGCTGTGCCCTACACCAACCTCTGGATCTATGCTGGCATAATTTGATGGGAGCCTGCAGGCTCCATGGCTGATGTGGGGCAGAGCCGGCATATGTCGGCAAAATCCACTTTTTGTGATGAGGTAAATAGTCCATGCTCCAGGAACAGTATTTCTCCAAGGATAGTGTTCCAGCAGAACAGACTAAGCACAGGGGTGAAAACTGACTAAAGGGAATTGGCTACTTGCTCAGGGCACAGCTTTACTATTTGGTGAACCATATGATTATTTCTGATATACAGTACTACTATTATATAATGTTTTTCTATCTGGTCATACTTCATATTGTTGAGTAATTGCAATGTTGCACTAGAGATTAAACTTAAATGTGCTCAATATATTCCAGAAGATATCACACAGTTATATGTTTGAGTTCAATTTTGTCTTTAAAAGTTGGGGAAATGTCATTTTTCTTATTGCATGTGATTCCTTAAAATAAGAAAACTGTCCCAAATAGGAGCCACTGGATATAAAACAGAGCAAGTTGTATTATTTTGAGCCAGCCCATTAGCAGCAACTCTCCAGTGCTCATACATAAGTTTTTTCCCAGTCATATCAGAAAATACCAAGGATTGGACCTGACATCTTTTTCATACTATGTATGTAATCTGCCACTAAATTAGAGCTCTTCCCTGTTTGTTTTTATGTGGTGTTATATAGGCATGGTGAAACAAACACATCAAAATTGATTTTGGTAAGGGGTATGATTCAAGAAAAATATTCATATAATCAGATATGCATCTCTGTGCCTCCTTTAAGAGATATAAGATGCAAATTTCTATATGCATTTTTCCATTTCTCTTTCCAGCCAACTCCAGTATTGACTTGATTATCAAGGACAGCTCTGCATTTTCATTTGCATTCGGCACACAGAACTGTTGCTGACACCTAATGAAGTGAATAGGAAGCTGCTATGATAACACTGTAGCACCCTCTATGCATTGAATCTTCCATGCATGTCAAAATGAACATGCCTGAATACCCCCCCCCCCCAATTCCCTGCCCCATGTCATGGACGTGTGCCTCTTGAACAGTGGTTCTCAACCTGTGGGTCCCCAGATGTTTTGGCCTTCAACTCCCAGAAATCCTAACAGCTGGTAAACTGGTTGCGATTTCTGGGAGTTGTAGGCCAAAACACCTGGGGACCCATAGGTTGAGAACCACTGCTCTAGAACAACTGACTGGCTGAGAGCATTAATGAAAACATACTGTAATTTTAAAATTACATCTTTTTACAAAATGTAAAATCTATGATAGAGAAAGGGTTCTGTAACTAGACCACCAGGTCCCAGAACAGAGAACTCCCCTTGATTTGTTTTCTATCTGAAAAAAGCAAAAGGAAATTGTTCTCATGAAATTTTCAGATGTTTTCCTCAAATCAGGATGCTTAGATGCTTGGATAAAATGTTATCTTTTAATGCATTGATCAGAATTCTTCCTCTCCTTTTTTTAAACATACAGAATATACACAAACACGTCCTGCATAATGAGAGAGATGCAGGCAGTATGAATATATTTTAATGATTTGTAACACGATTTCACTACAGTGTCCTCTGACTAGCTGTCTGCATGTGTTAAAAATCCAATTGTTTGTTAGTTTAAAGGTTTATATGTATTATAGACACCCACCAACACTACTGCATAAAGTCCTACTGTATGCTTACCTGTGCTGTCATCGTAAACAACTGTGACAGTTTTCCACTTGAAGAACTGCACAAGGTCAAGGATGGCACGGCTGAGTGAAGAGAAATCTGGGTAAAGGCTGACATAAAAGGAGTCTTTGTTGTCTGAAACCTGGTGCTTCCAGCGCGTCTGTATATGTGGAACCCCCAACGCATTGCAGATAGATTGCACTGCATTAGCTGAAGAGCTGTGTGAAGGCCCAAAGATGGCTGCTACTCCAAGAGAGAGCTGATCACAAGCTGAAAAAAGGAGAAAGAACAATTAGCGCTCTGCAAAGAACAACAACATAAAACTCTCCCATCTAAAAAAAAATGCTTGATTTGCAGTCAGATAGGCTTATTTTTGCTGCAAGCATTATACTTTTCAGGTAGAAAGTAATTAATGATCATTCATTCATTAGAGGCAAAGTTGGCCCTCCACTTTCATGGGGTGAAAAAAACCCATTGAAAATGGAAAACCCTTGAATTAAAAAAACTTCTTTTAACCTGAGAGAACACATCCCTGGAAAACTCTAGGTTTTCCAGTGCAACTATGGTCAATGTCAGCCATAGGTTGTCCATATAACAAAGGGAACCTAGAGATTCTTAGCTATTTTCTCTAGCAATCTGTAAGTTTTCCAGCATGTCTCTATGGTCATGGTTCAGCAAGAATAGCATCATCCAGGAGGACATTAAGATTGTGTCTTAGATGAAGGGCTATAAGGCAGGATCATCAAGTTTGCAGATGACACCAAATTGGGAGGGATAGCTGATACTCCAGAAGATTGGAGCAGAAATGATCTTAACAGATTGAAGAAATGGGCCAAAATGAACAAAATGAAGTTCAACAGGGACAAATGCAAGATACTCCACTTAGACAGAAAAAACAAAATGCAAAGATTCCGAATTGGGGGGTGGGGGCGGGGGAGGGGGTGTGTGTGCCTGACTTGACAACAGTAGGTGTGAAAAAAGATCTTGGAGTCCTCATGGACAACAAGTTAAACATGAGCCAACAATGTGATGGGGCAGCTTAAAAAGTCAATGGGATTTTGGCCTGCACAAATAAGAGCATAGCATCTAGATCAAGGGTCCTCAGATATAGGCCTCCAAGCTCATTTACCTGGCACTTGCTTAGGGTCAACCTAAGTCTGAAATGACTTGAAAGCACACAATAACAACAGCAGCAACACTCCTATCTCATTAGCCAAAAGCAGGCCCACACTTCCCATTGAAATACTAATAAGTTTATATTTGCTCAAATTGTACTTCATTTTAATTATTGTATTTTTACGTGTTTTTTGCACTACAAATAAGATATGTGCAGTGTGCATAGGAATTCATTCATGCTTTTTTTTTTCAAATTATAATCTGGCCCTCCAACAGTTCAAGGGGTTGTGACCTGGCCCTCTGTTTAAAAAGTTTGAGGACCCCTGGTCTAGATCCAGGGAAGTCTTGTTACCCCTCTATCTATATGCTTTGGTCAGACCACATCTGAAATATTGTGTCCAGATGCTTTTAAACAGAAGCTGGATGGCCATCTGTTGAGGGTTCTTTGAATGCAATTTTCCTGCTTCTTGGCAGGGGGTTGGATTGGATGGCTCACAAGGTCTCTTCCAACTCTATGATTATATGATTCCAAGGAAGAACAAATTAAAATCTACAGGTATAGCTGCAAAACATAAACCCACAAATGTGGAGAGTTGACTGTACATGCTGAAGGTCAAACTATAGAGGATGGCTCTAGTAACATCCTTATACTCATAGGAAGACTCCATGAATAAAATAGCACAAGAGAAAAGCAGAGGAGGGATGGCATAACCTGGACTATGTGTGATCTCTGACTCTCATTTTTGTGTCCCCTGGGGCCCTTACCTGCACCCAACACCTCATTTAAACATTAACTAGTTTTTGCTTCAGAATTACATGAACGCTCCCCCATGCATTAAAACATGCAAAAACACCCTAGAACACTCTCCCACACCCAAATACCTGTATTTGCATTTTAAGTCCTTCTCAAAATGGAGACAGGGCTAAGTTTACTTCTTGTTGCCATTTTGAGAGGAACTGCAGAGAAAAATGCAGGTCTTTGAGTTTGTTGCATGGTATCCAGCCTTTGGGAGGAAGTTCACACCTGCTTTCAAGATGCCACAGACTCCAGAGTGTTCTCTAGAAGGAAGTTTCAAAGGCATGGAGAAAACAATAAACATTCCTTCCCCTCTCCATTCTACTCTCTAAAGATTCTGCTGGGTCAAAGATCTTAGTGCCAATGGAAGGACACCATTTGACATGGTCATAGGCCTAGACCAGAGATGTGAATTGCATGGAAATCCAGATGTTTTTGGACTGTGTCTCCCAGAATTCTTTTTCATTTGTTTTGCTGGCTAAGGTGCCTACAATTCAAGGTTTCTGTAGTCCATCAAGAGGACTAAAGGGCTTCATAATTCCCACCCATAGTCTAAGCCCTATAGAGTGGCCTGTCTCAATTCAAGTCTTTACTTGGATAGCTTGGCAGAAGGCAGAGAATCGATCAAAACCATGACAGGATATATGGAATTAGAAGCTTTTACGGTGCCTTGCTGACAAAATCCATTGACTTTGGCATTTTGGAAACAATTGACCTTGAACATGATTGCTACCAAGGTGCTCCGCTATCAATTTCATAGGTTGCAAGAAATAATCAGCCTGAAAATATCTCTACTTTGCCTTGACATTATGTTGCTAACACTTCTGCTAGCTATTAGCTAAGCAAACAGAATAGCCTTGGGCCATCAGATTCATATGCTGTTGTTTGCTCTTTGTTACTGGTTGCAGTTGCATTCATAAAGACTGTATCACTGCCTAGTTCTAAATTTGCACCAGCTTATTTGCCTGGAGCATAATTTCCATGCCATACAAAATCATGGCTTTTGACAAGATACTGGTGCTCAACGTACCTCCTCACAATGTGCATTTACTTTCCTGTATTTTGTTACTATTGTGCAGAAGTAAGAAATGTTCAGCATCAAAACACACTAGATATTACAACAAGGGAAAATAAGTCTGAATGTGCCATAGCAGAAAAGATGAGGCAGAAACGAAAGTGTAGCCTCCCTTGTTTTATTAAGAATTATAAATGGCTAGATAGAGCTCCCGTTGACGTGGGTGGGTGATGTCTAGAGCAATCCCTCAAGACTATGGATGTCTTTCAAGCCACTGATAATTCAACAACAAAGCATCTTACTGCTAAGCTGTCTTCAAATCTTTTCTCTATAACAAAAAAAAGTCCTACCGAGATAACTTTTAGGTATTTCTCCTGAAATTCTTCTCTAAATACACAATATCCATAACCTAGAAAAAGTATCCACTAAGAGCTGCTTCATAAAATAATGATCATCTGTTCTTCAATAACAAATTATTCTTTTGGGGTTTTAAAAATGAAGTTATGATTAAAGAGGGAAGTTATATTTTAAAACCCACAAAACTATTCTATCAGTGCATTCCCCCTCAACGAATAGAATAATTTGATTTTCTCCACCTTTAGCATAGTACTGTAGAGATCAAGAGGGTTGTTTTGCTGGCCTCCAATGGGAAGAGACCAGTATAATTAGTTTCCTGGCATCTTGCACCAGGACGTGTCAAAAAGAGAGCTTCGGGTCAGAAAGACGCATTTCCCCATATTCCAGGGTTTTTTTGTAGGTATTTTTTATTTTCTGCCTACCCCATACTTGATAATTGACTTAGAGTAGTATCTTAAATAGGCCTTCACTGGGAGGTTTTGGAGAGAGAAAGGTGATGTAAGGTACCTATGGCACCTATTTGGGGAAGGATGGAACTCTGAGTATCATGCATTCAAGGGATGGAATAGTTTCTATCTTTTGGGTTGGTCTCTGGGTTTTTGTCCTCTCAAGAGGCCATGCAATGTTAGAATTGTCACCTTCTAGTCAGCATCCCATATAGATAGCAAACCAGATTTAAGTTGGGTTTCTCTTGAAGCCTACAGTGCTTTTCCCTAGGGGAAGTTGGAGAGGAGCTCTAGAAGAGATACACTGCCCTAGCTGCTCCCACTTTTGGTTTCTGAATACTACTAAGAACACGTAACTAAATGGAAATGAATAAAGCTGCCCACATTTCAACCCATATCTTAGTGTGTGATATTTTTATTCCATTGAGATAAAGTAGAATGGCAGCACCAGTTCATGCAAACAAATCTTCCCAACTTCCTTTTGTGTGAGAAAATTGTAGCCCCCAAAAGAAACCCAACTTAAATGCAAGTTGCTCCCAGGGCAGGAAAACTCTGCCCTTGGCCAGGTATATTTCTTTTTTGTGGTACCCAACATGCAACAAAGTTAAACTTACTGATGACATAAAACCTGCTAAAATCCATGAAGTCTATAATAACAATATATTGATGTGGGACTTGCCTAGTCACTAAGAGAAAAATCTTGAGTTCTCTGGTGACATTATGGCAATCCCATAGATTTAATTGGATTACTGAGAGAGGGTTTTGCCAGTTACTTCCTCTGAAATTTCACCCTTGGCACCTGACATTCATTATTGGTCTCATATTGAAGTACTAACCAGGATTGACCTTGCTTTGCTTCCAAGATCAGACAGAATCTGGAGCCTTTGGGGTATATCCCAATCAAAATAGTGATCAGGATTAATATCATGTCATTCCTAGTTGACATTTTGACCAGCATACAGCAAGATAGGAGACTTTGAAGAACTGGCAACAGGCTTCTGTCAAAAATACGGTTTGGAGATACTATAAGGCTGATGAGCTGCCCTTTTCCCACTTCTGGTGCAATGACTCATCACACCTAGAAAATAAATCCACTTAAAATCTGGTATCTGCCTCCTGCAGAATTCTAGGGTTTGTAGTTTAATGTGACTGTTAAAGGCTCCTCCCTAAATTACAAACCTCAGATTTCTGCGGGAGGCTCAACCAGATATTAAGTGGATTTATTCTTTATTGTGATGAAGTAGTAACTTTCAAATTTACTTTCAAAGGAAATTTTAAGCTATTTTGATAAGCTATTTGCATATCTTATACCCAATAAACCATCTGATCTCAAATTTAAGGGTTTTTCACCCACAAAAATAGTAGAAAGTAATTTAAGAGCAACATGCTGTATCACAAATTATATAAGTTACACTATCAAACAGTGTGATAAATAAAAAGGAACATTCCAAGCTCTGTATAGATTTTTATCTAACAGCACCTATTACTAGAAATCAATACAAATGAGACTGACTCACATTCTATCAGATAATTTCAAAGTCTTGTTTGCATAAATGTGGAACATAATTTCTCCATGGATTCTTGATGTGAATATGGTGTATTGTAACCTAGGGGGCATCTACACTTAAAATTAATGCAGTTTGACACCATTAACATAAGGCATTATATGGAATCATGGGAATCATATTCTTACAAGATTGTAAGCCTTCTCTGTCAAAGACTGCATGTATCTCACCAATGAAAATTTCCATTATTCCATAGCATTGGGCCATGGCAGTTAAATTGCATTAATTCTACTCTGCAGATGCATCCTAAATCTTTTCCCTGTCTAAAGATGATTTTTTACAGAAATAAAATCAAGATTTTTTTTTGCAATTACCAAACAGTCATCCAGAAACAAAATATGGCATTTCAAAGAATATTTCAAGATCCTAATATCCAATACAGATCTAATCACTTTTCTGCTGTTTGGCATCAGACAAGAAATAGCTGAAAACTAAAAAAAAAATCCACTTTGTTTTCTCTGAATTAATGGTGCTAAAGTGGCCAGGACTCAGAAACTTCAGAGATGCTGACACAGCAAATGTGGAATCAAAATAACTCAGAATAAGATTATCCTATATACTAATGTATACGTTTAGAAATATTAAAATCAAAAATCAACTCCAAAAACCTGGCTCAGCATATTCTTCAGCTAATGTGAGAACTGTACCTTAACTCTTATTTTAAAAAGAAACCATCTCCTTCTCAGAGTAGAATACCAAAAGGCAAAAGCTTAGTTCACCCCTGGAAAATAAATACCAATACCCTCTATTCTCTCTGGCATGGTGCCACTTCTAGCTTTTCTGATAGCCTGGGTGAAGAAACGGGGGTGGCAGTGGCCAAGCGCAGCTGATGCTTTCATCTCTTCATGGAATGACCCTCAACTTATCCACAGGCCATATAGAAATCAATAATTTTGGCCCTACAACCTGCCCTCAACTTTATACATCAAGTTTACCTGAACACGAGAATATACAGTGTTAATTTAGTTATTTTTATTTATTTATAGATATTCTAGCTTGCCTTTCTCCCCAAAATGAGATTCAAGGCAGTTCCCAATATTTTTAAAAGATTCCACATACATTTTAAAAATATATAATGTATTTAAATATAACTAGTATTAAAGACCTGCTAAAGGACATTTAGAACACCTAAACATATTTAAATCATAGTTTCAAGGCAATATAGAAATTAGCAATAAATATTAAAGATTTCAAATATTCATTTGTGGATGCATGGTTCATTTTTACTTGGTTTGGGAATCATAACACAGAAGATTTTCATTGTCACCCTGCTTCTTATGGTCAAATGGTGAGAAAGGCATTTAGTTCATATTGACCTTTTATTGCCCCCTTTCCCCAAATGCTTCAATGGATGATATACACTTTTCTTGAAAATGTAATGGCATGTTTTTGTTTTTGTTTTTATAATTCATCTGTGTATTGTGTTTCTAACCTGTAATCTTGATAAAAGTTAATAGATTTTTTAAACAAAGAACCAGGAGGTGAAAGGTTGGTGGGGCTTAACTGGGAAGAAACCAATGCCTGGAGCAATCAAGCTCCTGCCAGTTAACTAACAAAACTTTTGTAAACTTACCTTTTTTGGATGCTTCAAAACTGTCATAGAGATTTATCTTCTGGGTATCATAGGTTAATGTGGTATTTGGTAACAGAGTTCTATTTCTGTTTATTGTGTTCACAGCAAACCGGAAGGCCAGTTCCTCTGCTCCCATTGCTCCTGTTGGGCCAGATTCCACACATTCAAAAATACCCCCTGTAGAAACATCAAGAGAAAAGGAAGCATTACTACTTAGTTAAAACATTGGGGTAACTATAAGAAATGTACAATTTGCCCCAGTCAAGCCTGACTTTTGAACGGCCATACAATATGCAATGCAGATAAATTGGCCACTTGTTTTTTTTTAAAGCAACTATGTCCTGATAAATTTTGTAAAAAAAAAAAAAAAAAAGGAGGGGGGTCTTATATGTATAGATCACATGTTATAATATAAAAATACATATGACAGTATTCCAGATACCCCCAGAAAATTTAACTATAGCTCTCAATATTCTTTGCCATGAGTCATGCCAGCTGAAATTGACAATACTTTTATAGGGTGGTCATATCTGGAAACATTTTAGACTCAGATCTCATCAGGTATTTTGGACTACATTGCCTATGTTGGTTAAAGTATATGGGAGTCATATAGGGTTGCCAGCTATGCATGCCAACCCCCCCTCCAAAAAAAGCAAAAAGTAGATAGAAATGTGCATATATGGAACTATATGAATAGATCAGCATGTAGAAATAGTAGTTACTGCAGCATAGATATAAATACAATATACATAGAGGCTGGGTTCCTCAGATGAAATCTAGGCATGCACACACCTTTCACTGCTAGAAAGATGGGAGCATCAATTGATAAAGATAAAGTAGATATTGTTCTTCAGTCAGGTTTATGACTTGGGAAAGAAAGAGAGAGGTATGTAATATACATTCCTATTGTCTTATGATGTAGCACACAGACGGAATGTTCTTTCCAGTTATATCTCTTGGTAATTTTGTTTGTGGTTCTTGGTAACAGTAGCATTTCACTGATCACATGGGCTACTGGGGAAAATGCTATTTTCTGGATTCTGAGATGGCACTTAGTGGCAGAGGAGTAGTCACCTTGGAGGTAACAAATGGGAAATGAGGAGGCATAGGGAAGGATTGCTGCAGCAGTGGATTTTTAGAGGAAAATAATGGAAACTAGAAAGACTGTATAGCAGAGACAACCAAAGGTAAAATAAGACATCTGGTGAATCTGGAGTCACAGAACAAATGTCCAGAAGGACCCAATTTGAGTATGGAATAAGCAAACTTTGCTACTCAGAGCAGATAACCATAGCAAGATTGTCCCAAACAGTGCAGTTCCTGCAGTCCACCAGAGTTGTTAATTCTGAGAACAACAGAAAGGAAAGACAAAAAAAAGACAAAAAAGACAAAAAAGAAAGGACCAAACATTAAGATATCCTCACAAATGAATAGATGAAGAGGAATATTCCTCCACATGGAGCCAACACCTTCCATAATTCCTCACATCTGTTACCATTTTACAAAATTTATTTCCTGGGCTGGCTGTGGTCACAATGCAATTGGCATCAAGGGCTGAAGGTGGTTGGTTGCTCAGTACAGAATTGTAGCCACACAGAGAGATAATGGTCCCCTCCTTTCACATGTGCTTCATGGGTCTTTTGTTGATTGAGTTATTTTGTTTTCAAAATCTCACTTGTGTCAATAGCTTTTCCAACAGAAATTCAGGGACTTGAAGCAACTTAATGCGACAGAAGATCAAGGCAAACAGGCTATAATAGGCACTTGGTACGTTCAGTATTACTCCCCTAATTAGTATATTATCAAATTCCCAAAGAGATTTAGCTTCATAACCCATCTCCATATTTTATCCTGCCTCATAGCTACCACCACTGCCACTACTGCCGAATCTATAAAAACCCAGCCTTTGAGAAATGTATGCTCAAATAATTGGAAAACAGAAGCTTTACATACAGTACTGAGAATGAAAGTTACAAATGGCTGTTTGAAATGGTACCAATTTAGATCTCACAAAGATTCAGCAATTAGAGGATGACATTGAATACATGTAGCTATAGACACCAAGTTAGCTGGAAAGAATGCCCTGTGAATAAAAATAAGAAGCAGGAACCATTTTCCAAAAAAAAGAAAGAAAGAAAGAAAGAAAGAAAGAAAGAAACAAATAGGCAAGCTGAGATCATAGGTATTTTATGTATTTATTTATTTACATTATTTCTATCCTGCCCATTTCAGCCCGGAGGCGACTCAGGGCCTCAGGGTAGAAATTGTATCATGGGTAGAGTGCATCTGGTCCAGGTTTTAGCCTGAATTCTATCTCCAAGTAAATTCAGCATGTTAAAAGCAACTTTGATGTTCAGCCCAAATTTGATTCACTGCCCCACTAGCATGGGAATCTCTGTTTGATATTTGTCTTACTTTTCTAGGATTGGAGAATGTATATTGAATGGGTATGTTGTTGGTTATAGCAATCAAGCCAGGCAAACAGGCTGCTGGGGGAGGGTCTCCATCAGAGGGGAACTCTTCCCAGTATTTCCAGCATGTTTGGGAAGGGTTGATCAACCTTTGGAAGATGGAAGGGGGCACAGACACCAGTGATTAAGGTGGAGGCTGAATGAGATGAGCTGAGACCTCTAAATGAATAAGTCTCTGTAAAGTAGATCTGGTGTTGCCTGCCAACCCCCTAAACGATGAGACAAGACAACAGCAATTTGGATTCAAATGCTGGAAACTTTATTGATTGTTAGCTATTTAACTTCTTAACTAAACTAAGTTAGATGTCGGTTGAACTTGGTGTGGCAAAGCCGAGGTAGCGACTTGATACAGCCTACCCCTCGACTATTCAGGGCATAACCCCTGGGTCCCCTGGCAAATTAAACCCAGCTGACCTCTAGGGGAAACATCTGGAGAAGACTCTCTCAAATTATTGAGACCTGACTTTCCTCATTCCTGGGCCATTCGATATCAACTCACCCTTAAAGTTAACCTCTAGGTGAGTGTTTAAGGGGTACCTTAGGTGTACACCAACCTTTGTATTTCTAATCTATTCATGCTAAGCCTATTTATACACCGACCATCCCAGCTAGCCCCTAAACACAGTATAGAGTAGGTGAAACACCCTCCTAGAAGTAGGAGGGAAAAAAATCCTACCTGGTCCCAAAAGGCAACCGCTAATTATACTGTCAATGGGCTGGCGTGATGGATGACGTCCTGAAGCAGAATGAGGGAATAGGGCTGACCTACAAGAAGACCAGCCACGCCCCCTTTTCCAGATGGTTCCAAAGGAACCATCCATTCTCTTATCCAGGGGAGGAGACAAATAGCTGCGCTGGGGTGGGAAAGTCCCTAGCAAACAACTTTGTGTCCTTGTCTCCTGGTATTTCTGACGTCATAACTCTGACCTTGGCTTGATTCTCAAGCAACCCTGGCATTTGACTTTTGGACTGTGATCTGAACTTCATTTTCAAGAAACATTGGTATTTGTTTTTGGAACCCATATTTTTAATATTTGGTATGGAATTTATGGACTCTGATTCTGGCTTCCCTGGCTGTAGACTATCACCTTGGCACCTGGCCCTGGAACCCAGATTAGAAATCTTTCATATTTGTCTTTTAGACTCTGACTCCTGTTTGTTTAAAATATTCCTGACATTGAACTTTTGGATCTTGGCTTTAGCTCACCCCTCCCTATTTAAGGTTTATATTTATGCTTTCAGCAGAACTATTAAGGTCTTGATAGTAGAGCTTTTCTGTTATGGACCTCTTGATTTTATCTTGCCATTACTTTGTTTAAACATTATGCTTTGATAACCAGGACCTGGCAAAATATGACATGGAGCTTGAAATTCTGCACCCTATGTAATGGCCAAAGACTCCAATTCCAGACATGTAATTCTGTTGCAATGGTTTCCATACATACATCGAATCCACTGCTGTTGGAGTAGGGGGGAGTATAGAGAAGCATCTAGAATATTCTCATAGCAAGAAGCTGACTGAAGATGACATCACTGAGACCTTTGAGGGCGGGGTCTCAGCAGATGGTGTAAGATGTCCAAGAGTGCATCTTCAATGTATAATTACTGTCATTACACACCACTTTAACAGTAATGGCTTAATGCTATGGAATCATAGGAGTTGTAGTTTGGAAAGGCATCTGCTCTCTTTGGCACAGAAGGATAAGTTATTTGTAAAACTGTAACTCCCATCATTCCATATCATTGAGCCATGGCAGTTAAGTGGTGTCTGTCCAACTGCATTCATTCTAAAGTGTAGGTGCATCCTTACATTGTATCCAGCTTTATCAACATAACCAGATGCTTCTCTGATCCTTTTTCCTTTTTCCCCATTTGTGGACTGTGCTTCCCAACAACCTATTCATTTTAATGATCAGCCAAAAATCTGCCTTCTCTCCTGCATCTACTAGCACCTAGGCAAACCTGCATGTGGACTTCACCAAGGACTGTATCACAGACATGCATCAGAAAATATCTTTTAAGTAGGCAACCCATGGCTTTTAAGGGCTTTATGAGGACTGGATACATACAAACCCCATCACATGGTAGATGGATGACTCCTCCCAATCCATCCAACCTTCTGCTACATCATGGAAATCCCTTTTTAGAATTTTTTGACAAATGTTGTGAAACTCCATTCTTTTGTACCACAGAAGAAATGTTAAAACTTTTTTATTCCTATGAAGTTATGTAGTTTCAATTTTTTTAAAGGAAGCAGTTAAGGGAAAGCAGAGAACATTTGTGGTCTTACTTACAGCCTTACCGAAAGTGTACTTCTGGTCAAAGAGAATCATGTGGTAGGGAAAAACAATCCCCAAAATACACCTTGAAAGACATGATATAAATCTGACATGTGCAGAGAAATAAAGGACAGTTGGAAATCTGCCTTTCAAAAAGGTACTAGTGGCAGATCTTTTGCCTATGAGTTATCTATTAAAAGAATCATGCATTTTCATATGATAGAATGCATAAGAACCAATATGCAAAGGGTATCAGAGGTGGGGTATATCACTACATGATGGGATCCCAAGTCTTAGATCACCAAACATTTACAATAGACTCCAGCCTGGAAATGGATTCTGAGTTCATTAGAGCTTAAATGCTGCAAGACACTGGAGATAACTACAAGTGCATGCTAAATATAATTTATTTATTATTTATTTAAAA